TTACAATGGATGAGAGCTAATAAGTTATCATTAAATTTACAAAAAAACAAAATGTATGCTCTTCAGCAATTCTATAGGTAACTTACCACATAATGTTAAACTAGATAATACTGACATAGAAGCCGTCACTTCAATGAAATGTTTAGGTCTGATAATAGACGATAAACTCTCACGGAAATGTCATATTGATAGCATTTGCCGAACAATCTCTCGCAACATAGGGATTGTAATAAGGTTAAGTTTTTTTCTGCCAACCTCCTCCCTACTAATGCTTTACTCGACATTAATTTTGCCCTACTTAAATTATAATATTATTGTTTGGGGTAATACATACGATTCTTATCTTCATAGAATACTACTTCTACAAAAAAAAAAGCTATGCGTGTTAACTGTAACACTTCCTGGAGATCCCATACTTAAGTTTTATTTGTTGGAAAATAATGTGTTGAAAATAAATGATTTATATCGTTATAGCCTCGGTCAGTTTATGTACCAGTTAAATAATAATACGCTACCCTCAGCCTTCAATTTAATATTCATCAAAAATAAAACTATACACAAATACCCTACGCGCCAATCTGACGAATTTCATCTGCCATTAACTAGAACTTTACTTGCTAAATCCATATTCACTTACGAAGGCCCGAAGCTATGGACCATTCTTGATGTTAGCATCAAGAATGCCCCCAGTTTAAATTCTTTTAAATTCAAATTGAAAATAAAAAAATTGCGTAATTATCAAGCGTTAGCTCTCCCTCTTTAAATTTATTTAACTCAATAAAATACATTTGTATATTTTTATTCATTTTTTACTGGCCATCCGTATTCCAGTCGGCCCGTGTTGTGTTGTGTGTGTTATAGGTAAGAGCCCTGCCCTCTCTCGTTCCTTGTCTCCCTTCTTTAATAATAATAATAATAATAATAATATGGATATTTATATAGCGCCGGTATCCGCCAGGCCCTGTCCTTTTCACTCCTTCTATGTTATGTTTATTTGGTTTATGTATTTGTGCGTTCCTTTATTATTGATATACTATTTTTTGCAACTGTAAGTTATAGGGGGCTGTAATCTACAAGCCCAGCTTTTCAACAGTCCCCTCCATGACCAACCTGTTTTATATGCCTGTTGTACACTGTGGACCAAATACAAATATATTGTTAAGTTTCATTGTTTTTGGAAATGGAAATAAACGAAACGAAATGAAATGAAATAGGGCATGCTAGAAAACTTTTTCCGATCTTGGAAAAGAAAACATATCGTGGGGAGATAAGCAGATATGCAAGGATAATACTCAGAACCCAACATTAAACCAAATAATTCTGATACTCTAATACTTAATCGCGAAAAGTTATTTGTTGACAATTTCGCATTTTGTTGTAAATATTTTTGTATGAAGAGAAGATGATCAATGCTATAAAACGCAGCACTCTTTTGTCACAACTTGGTTACATTTCTTCTTTGAAAATCGAGAGTTTATTTAACTAAGGCAGTTAGAATGTGAAGTACAAGTATTCGAACTCAAATTTTAGCCACCATGACGCTAAAATCCCAGTATTGATACAGTACTGTGGTAAATATTGGCGTATGATATAGCGTCACTAAATTATTCATCACAGATGTTGACTAATGTCTTTACGTTTATATTATTTGCCCGCTCAACAGTCTATTGATAATGTCGGCTTAAACTATCATTCTAAACGTCATGACTATCAAAGCGATGACAAATTGTGTTGACACACTTACCGAAGTGATCAATATTATTGAACCTCAATGGTGGTTAATAATAATCGATAGTTATTGATATGAAACAATTATACAGTATATTTGTTATTGAAGTAGCACGAACATAGCTGTCTGAGTACATAATGGATTCCGAAGTTAAATCATGAGAAAATATAGACACCCTGTTCATCATTACCAAAGGTACAATGCTTAATAGAATGACGCACATTATCATGTCAAAAGATCGTTAGATTTCAGATTAATATGGCTGTTTTAAGTCCGTTAACTATACAGGCAGCTGTATATTGGCTATGAAAAGGTTTTATCTTCAATAATACCCGAGCTTGAAAACATGCAGGCCTATGCTTTTAAATTGAATTATACTCAGGAGTGATTTAATATAGGACTAAATCTCTACCCTCATTTTCGGCGAAAGAGCGTCAGATTTTAACAATAGATATGGTTAAATCCACTGGAGGCAAAATACAAACTTTTCAGCTGCTAATATAAATCTATCAACCACAGATTATATGAAAATGTTCGTCGATGGAAATGGAAATGGTTGATTTTTAGATAGGAATAATACAAAAATGTAATCTAAAGCTTCATCTTGTGAAAATACGGTGAGGTAATGTATAGTTGATAGAACATGGATTTACTTCTACTGAATGTGAGTTGTATGTGGGTGAGAGAGGGCGAGAGGTGGTGGTGGCGATGGGGGGGGGGGTAACAAGGGAAGGTAAGCAATATGAAAAGAACACATAGACTACCCTTCCCTACTCGATGGACTCGTTTTCTCATATTTCATTTACCGGATAGGAGTGTTGCCCCTCCCACCCCCCCCCCCCCCCCCCTCATGCGACGCCACTGATCATATTTCAATGCAGAATCGGTTTTGGGGGACTAACCACTTGAGCAACTTATATATCAAGTCTAGCCTTCTTTGTTGAGACACACAGTCGAAAGTGATATTAAAATCCCTTCTTTTAAGTTTAAGGAAAAGTAAAATACTACACTATGTTCAATTATGCACAGTGAGAATTAAAGGTACCATTTACATTTTGTTTAGATAATAATGTTAGTTCATCAATATCGTAATAGAGAACTTGAACCTGAACGTCGATGATTTGAGACGACTCCAACTCAAGACTAGCACTGGAAGAGATGAAAGAAAGAAAGGAAGGAAGAAAGACAGTTGAAAGACTGCCAGAGGGATCTAAAAGCAATAACCGGTCAACCATGCTCATGCAGGTAGGTAAGCTCGACCACGTGTGACTACAGCTCTGATTGCGAGGGAAATTAGGGCGTAAAATATCATTGAACTTTAGTAGTCACCTAGGTGAATGGTACAAATGGAATGGAAGGAATCGAAACAGAAAACTAGGCCATTGATAGACCTGTTAGCCGCAGGGGCTAATCATTTACTAGTATACAACTTAGGTTGCAGTAGCCCATTCCCGTAATGCAATCAAATCGAATGCATAAGTCTTTGATGTGTGCCTCATTACAAATTATTTCATTCACCTGTTACGAATAATTTATTTCAATAGTCAGAATGCGAATTGCATAAATTAACTGTTGCTAGGCGGGAAAACACCCTGGCTTGTCTATACCTAACAACACGTAATACCGGTATATATGCAATTCGCATTCCGACTATTGAAATACAATTTTTTGTAATAGGTGAATGAAATCATTTGTGACGAGGCACTTTACAAAGATTTGTGCATTCATTATGCTTACATTACAAAAATTGTCTATTGTTAGACGACATGCCATAACACAATACTCTTTAATACCAAATATATACGTTGTGACTCCTCATAATGCACAAACAAACATATACATTGAAGTTACGATGCCGACTTGAATTAAGAATTCATGAAGTATGACAATACATGAGAGGGTAGAGAAAGGGAGTATTGGCAGATATCTGGGTCGGGTTGTGTGGTGGGGAGAGCCCAGACAGAGTGTGTGTGGGAGAGAGAGAGAGAGAAAGAGATATATATATAGAGAGAGAGAGAGACAGACAGACAGAGAAAGTGAGAGAGAGAGAAAGAGAGAGAGAGAGAGAGAAAAAAAGAGAGAGATATATATATATAGAGAGAGAGAGAGAGAGAGAAAGATATATATAGAGAGAGAGAGAGAGAGAGAGAGAGAGAGAGGGAGAGAGAGAGAGAAAGAGCGATATATGTATATATAGAGAGAGAGAAAGAAATATATATATATATATAGAGAGAGAGAGAGAGAGAGAGAGAGACAGACAGAGAAAGTGAGAGAGAGAGAGAAAGAGAGAGAGAGAAAAAGAGAGAGAGAGATATATATATATAGAGAGAGAGAGAGAGAGAGAGGGATATATATATAGAGAGAGAAAGAGAAAGAAATATATATATATATAGAGAGAGAGAGAGAGACAGAGACAGAGACAGAGAAAGTGAGAGAGAGAGAAAAAGAGAGAGAAAAAGATATAGAGAGAGAGAGAGAGAGAGAGAGAGAGAGAGAAAGGGATATATATATAGAGAGAGAGAGAAAGAGATATATATATAGAGAGAGAAAGAGATATATATATAGAGAGAGAGAGACAGAGAAAGTGAGAGAGAGGGAGAGAGAGAAAGAGACGGAGAGAGAGAGAGAGAGAGAGAGAGAGGAGAGACAGGGAAGGGAAGTGGGGTGAAAATGCCGAGCTCTAGCAAGCCCTCTTTTAGAAAGCAAAGGTAGAAGCAACGTTATAGTTTGGTTGACATTTTTAACAGATATACATCCTATTATGAAACCTTATTTTAAGAGCTAGTGGCATAAAGTCTGGATTTAACTTAAGGTAAACCATTCGTATTTTACCGTACGATTATACCCAAAGTAGTTGAAACACTTTATTGCCTTTATTTTTGTTTTTTTAGTAGAACAAGCAAATGTTCCCCTACTCCCTTTCGTATTTCCTTTTATTTGTTCAATCATATGTATGTTGTTCAGCCTTAGAAAAACAAACTGGTCATTCCAATTAGAAATATCCCATAAAATGAATAATTGGTTCCATGTACATCAGATTTGATAGCTTCACCACATTTCTCAAGCGTTTTCACGTCTCTATGATCCCACTCAACTTTCTCTCTCCTTTCCCTCCCCAGTTACAGCATCTGTGACAGCCCTTCTCACGTACTCCTCCGCTTCTCCAAAATTCACAAATCACATCTATTCAAATCTCAATCATGCACTCCTAACTTCCATTCTTCTGAGAGTACAGTAAACCAACAGATTTATATCACAGAACAACTACCCATTCCACTTGACACATACGTTTATTAATCCCTTCACATGTATCATGCAAAGTATATCATCTTTCAAGTGTGGCAATGTACATGTACTTATGACAGGTACGTATTAGCAAATAAATGTACAGTGCAACCTTGTGATAAAGAACACTCTTATATCAACTTTGTACAAGGTAATTGTGTTGGTCCTAATTTTTACCCTATTCGTTTTCTTTTAAAGGAGGCATTTTACCTACATCGCTATCACTGCTATAGTGGCATTTCATAGAGATCCTATATCAAGTGTAATGTATATTCAATTGCTTCATTTTTCAGCAAATGCTTACCGGTACATAGAGCAATTTTCGGTTCCTGTACCCAAGCATGATTACACGTGCATCATGCAGTTGATGATTATGGCTTTCGACACATCAGGACATTGTGAGCAGTAGATGGCAGTATACCGAAATCTGAAGTAGTGTTAGTAGAGTACCCTGCCTTTAAGCCCTGCCTGATATAACAGACTTTCAATACATGTGTTATGAGGTCCTTCTCTGGGTTCCAAGGAGGTTTTTATGAGGTTCCACTGTACATGGATAATAAAGAAGAATAAAGAAAAAAACTACTAAAGCTACAGACAAAAAAGGAAGCGCAAAATGTTGAACACTTAAGAAATTAATCAATATCTTATGAATCACCAGATTTTCTTATTTCTAATAACAACAGTCACACATCACTGATGTGTAAGACTGATGGATGCTAAAATACTTGTTATACATCATACAAAATACTAGAAGAGTTTGGAGTATGAGTGGATGAGGGGTGGGCTACAGGGTGCCCACAGAGATTTGAGAAACAAGTTCAATGACTTTCCATGACCCATTGTTACCCTTTTCTAGGACCAGATAGGTACCATTATGGTATGAGTGGCAGCATCCAAGCAGCTTACAGGTACCATGCCAGTAACCACACACACCCCACAACCACAATGAATTGTCATGACTGTCTATGACCCTAGGACATTTATTTTAAATCATTTTCTATGAATTTCTAGAAGGATTTATTTGTCCATGATTTTCCAGGTTTTTCCATGACTGCAGGAACCCTGGGTGCTATGTCTGTGACCTTGAGAATTGACTTGAATTTGAACAAGTACAATGTTCTGATATTCTGAAGTATGCCAGTAATCTTATGCTAAGTTAGAGCATGACAATGGATTTTGACAAGAAATGGATGAATGGATATGTGATAAGATTAATCCATTTTACACATATCACGTTAATCATATATCTGTGCTTGAACATATGCTATATCTCTCAATATTGAATAAGTAAACAAACCATTCCCAACATTTCAAAAATTGCCGATTATGAAAACATAGCGAGATTGGGATTCACAGAGATTAATATGACCTCTTGCATAATAAAGTATCAAATCAACTCCTTGAAAGTATTTGTAGCAACTGTGATCAGAGTTTTCTCACAACAAATTCAATAATGATGACTATGATCAAACCTTCAATGTAAGAAACCCTGAAAATGTGAGGATCATTTGGTGCAGGTAGACATTGTACAGTGTCTACACAAAACAGGTTCATTTACCAAATTGACAATTAGATAATTGGGTAGAGACTTAGTGATCATAGCTTTTAAACATTCATAACTATCATCAGTCTAATTTATTTCAAACATTCATCACTTTTGTTTGTCTAATTCATTCAAATTTTATCCAACATATTTGTTCAAAATGTTTCCAATTTGATAATTGTGCATATTTAGTGATCGTTACTTTTATACATTCATAACTATCATCAGTCTACTTTCTTTCAAACCTTTTAACTATCATCAGTCTAATTTCTTTCAAACCTTCGTAACTATCATCAGTCTAATTTCTTTCGAACATTCATAACTATCATTCGTCTAATTTCTTTAAAACTTTATCAACATATTCTTCTGATTCTTCTTCTGTCACATAATTAAACATGTTACAAAGTTCAATTGCCATAGAAAACATTCACAACAGAGCACAAACATCAATTGCATACATGAAGACATACCTTTCAGGTTAGGGTTGAATTGAGAACCATTATCAATGAGGTTGTGAGAGTAATACATCTTCACTCATTATCACTACATAATAGCATACAGCATCTATCACCTTTGACCTTCATATTTTTAATTTGTCCAGTCATTGACATGATAAATCATTCAATATGTTGAGAGAAGGATGAAAAATGAATTTAAAAGAAGAAAAAAAAGCATTCATTTACCATTCATAAAACTACATAAATATAAATTATGTAATTAAGAATGTATTGTAATATCTTAAAGGTACATGATTTCAGAATAACTGTCAACTCACCCGATCAATATAAATGATTACAACAATTCAGCTGAATCAGTAATTACATGTAATATATTACAGCTACATTACAGCTCAAAAATGGCATGTCTCATTTCCTATTTGCCATCAGTTTAATAATCCATTCTACAGAATAATCACTTTCTTTCAAATATGTGAGCTATGATTAAAATCACAATAAACAATGCTCCAAGATTCTAGTTGTCAACTTTGACATTACATAACTCTCTAATTCTACAGAGTAAAGACAGAGGACATTATCGTTTTCAAGGTCAATGACATTATGAAAAGAGTCAAAATATTCATGACCAGGATACAACCCTGTTTAACATCAAGGATATGAAGGAAAACATAAAGATCTTAAAAGCAAAATATCAGTAAGATGATATATGTACAATCAGCTGTGATATATGGCAGGCAAGCTACTTGGGTAAAGTGTTAGATTACTTTAAAGCAGCTCATGATAGTCTATGACATGACCATATAAACCATCATGTTACCAATATCAACCTTGGATCCATTCTGGCTAACACTAACAGTCTGGGTCTTATCTTGTATGGTGAACTTAGCTGTAGCAGCAATGGGTGTCTTTCCTTCTTCAGGATGATCATAACGAGGGATAGTTCTTGGGCCCAGAGCAGGATCGTTGTATCGCAGGAACCTCACTTTAGATAGATCTGACAATAAATCACATAGAAAGCAATGCAATACATGATAACTTAATTGTGATTGACTTCGAAAGCTAATATTTTCAGGCTAACTAGCCAACTGTTCTAGATTTCACAAACGTACACTTTGATATACGATATAGGTATCTGGGTCACACACAGTGTAATGAATACTTCTTATATCTCTTCGGAAAGTTCACTTTCACTTTATTCTTTTCTCTCTCTTTCTCTCTTTGTAACAATATCCCTTAATGTATCTGTCATTCATACTCATCTGTGTATACAGATACCTTGTTGCTTTTTAAACGAGGTGTTTTGAAAGTATCCAAAGCCTTGCATCTATCTATAAATGGCAACATGACAATGCTGATATAGTATCTACCATAGTATCTACCATAGTATAAGACACAAATGAGGGCCTTAACAGTCCTCACCAAATAATTTGCTCTGAAGAAGAAAAATTTTAAAAATCAGACAAACTGACCAAAAAAGTTTTGAGGTAAGTTAGAAGATAAAATAGTTATGTCATTTAAATGATATAAAGATCACTATCTAATGAAGCCATATTTGCAACTCTGTCATGAGGTTGTGATGTTCACCAATTGTGTATGATTGTAATAGCCTAAATTTCTCATTTTTCTCCACAACTGGATTTCTTTGTGTCTTTGCTCAAGTTAAATTGAGGTCAAAATGGTATTTCATGTATCAATCAAATAAAAATGAATTATTTTTTCTTCCATAAGCACCCAATTTAACAATTTAATTTTTTTAAATAATTTTATTTGTTGTTTTATTTGATTTAATTTTTCTGTGTTGAATCGTTTTTCCAGAAATGAAGAGAAAAATGTGGGACATACCTTGAATGTTCTTGTTGTTTTTCTGAATGCGTGCTGCTATCCTTGAGATGCTATCTCCTTCGTAAACAGGGCATCTTACAGTAAAATGGCCGCTACTAGGCTGAGGGTTCACAAAGCTGACTGATACACATGGCTGCAAAATAACAGAGAATAGAAATATTATGATCAGAAAGTCTTTCAGTCGGCACAGAATAGGGTCAGTGAGCTCCACTTCCAGCATGTGAAGATGAGTGAAGTTTCTTGCTCGGCTGAATACTATGAACCAAGATGAATAATATTGAAGGTTAGGTTATGAATTAATTTATGAACAGCATTGTTCAGCACATTCTTGATTTGTCAGTAAGTAGGGTGCGATAATAGAATTGGCATTGTTTGCTATTCTCGGCCATGTATTGTATTGGCTTACAAGAGTGCGAAGGTTGTGAGCACGCGCTAACCTGATGGTAACGGAAGGAAGTATATTCAGCGTACTAAACCCATTCTGTGCCAATAGAAAGAGTTCTTGAGCACTCTTGTGTTATTCTAGCTAGCATTGCTACAACCCATTTTCACTATATGATTAGCATTGCGTCTACTTTCCGGCAGCTAATCAAAGCCTGTTTTTTTTTAGGCATGTTTTGTTCCTTTAGCTTCAAAACCTTGCTATTTTCCAATGATAGAATTAATAACAATAATAATATCAATCTTCATCTTCCTCTTCCTCCTCTTCCTCCTCTTCCCCTTCTTTTCCTATTCTTCCTCTTCTTGAGTCACTACACAAGCCCGGTCAATTGGAGAACACAGGATCTGGCCTTGGCATTAGAACCCTCTATGTTTTGGGGATACAGGGTTCTGGGAGGAGGGAGGGGCAGACTGAAAGACGTTTCATCGTCTGTTCCTCCTCACAGTGGCACATAGTTCCTCCACCTTTACTATAGCCCCATTTATACATGAGGACCTTGCATCATCCTGTTCCAGCCAAAAGATGATTTAGACAGCACTATAATAATAATATGCCATTCCTGTATAGCGCAAATCACACTAGATATAACATTGCTATGCGCTTCCAAATTACTTTTGATGTTATTACCCAAACTTTATACCGCTCAATACATTTAAAAAGGAATAAATCCTACAAGGTACCCTCATACTACTCATGGGTCGAGTGTGGTAGCTGGATGTCTTGCCAAAGAATGTTAGTGCTGCAGCAGAATGATTGAGACAATTAAAAAAAGCAGCAACAATCAATGTCTTATCCAAGATCACTGGGAATATAACAACAATCATGCTTACAACAAATATTGAAGCATACATGTATGCTGTTATATAAGGTAGATGTACGATTTACATGTAAACATGTATAAAACAGAATAACATCAACATATATAATATGATGCAAGCAAGGAATACCTCAGACAAGGGTGAAAATGGGTTGACATAATATATACATGTACATGCTGCAAATGCTCTGAAAGTGTGTAATGAACATGAAGGGTAAGTCAAGACCCCAAGTAGGTTGTATTGAATCATAGAGGAAACTATAAAACACATATCGCCCCTCCCCCATTTGTTTTTAATAAGGACAAAATTAGACAAATAATAATTACATAAATGATTTGATATATTCAAGACATGTTGGTCAATGATCCTTATAACTGTGATATCATTGCTTCAGTAAGAATGTTGGTCTATTTATTGCAATATCCCAAAACTTGAACTTGCTTTTCTTTAAAAAAAATATATATATTTTCATGATAGTTACAGCAATTAGATTGATAGTTACAGCAATTAGATTGATAGTTACATGTATTGCATGTATGCACCCAATTTGCTACAAATATTTAAGCCCTATGGTATCAAATGTTACATTTCGGCACATACATGAAATAACATGTGTATCATGGGCACAGGCAAAATATAATGTTCTGGGAAAAAGAGGCAAGAGAACGATTCAAAACATATATTGCCTAATGACCAAATTGCTCTGCTTGTCTCCAAACACAACTTTGATCTGTTTCTGCAATTTTTTTTATTACTTTCAATCAAAGCAACTTGTTTTGGGGAGAAATATCTGTATCTAGTTTATCAGGCCTAATGATTCTTCACAATGTATCTTCACTATTGATCTTGATAATGATCTTTTTAGAGCCAGCAGGGCATGAATCATAGAAGAAATAACCTTCTGGCTCGTAACTGAGAAAACAATAATTTGATACATCATCTAATAGGCTGGATGGAAGTAAAGTAAATATCAAACAAAACTTAACAGCTGCAAAACTAAATCACATGTATGAAGTAAATGCAAATCAATATATTGAGCAATACTTTGCTTTGTAAAGTGTTGCATGAGAGAGACTTATTACTCACCGGCTAGTAGAGGAAACCGCATGACATTGAAGAAGTGGAAATTAAGTTTGGATTTCACATTATTACTCAGCTTAAGATTTCATTACTTTGGAGCTCTTTAATGAAGACTAAGAGTTTAACTCAACATACAATACATCCATGATTATATCGTTATGCAGAGAACATCATCTATGCAACCCATAAAAGTGGCTGCATTATGAATAAGTATATTTGCATGAAAGCGAATTGTAACATGCTCAGGGAAATGATCATCATCCGATGTCTTCAAGGTGAAATATTTGCCACTTTTAGTTTTCTATTTACTCAAAAGTATTTTTTTTAATGTATCCAGAGGAGATAAAAGGTGACAAAAGTACAAAATGAAATTGCTAGAATTTTACCTGATTGACAAAGACCGAATAAGGTTTGCCGGGACAGCATTCTTCTTGGATCTTGTCCGATGCTTCACTGCTAGGACGAACTTCTAAACCTTCAAGCTAAAATGAAGAACAAGAAAAGTATTCAAATCACTACTAACCTGATCAGTGTGTTATGAGAATGAGCATTGGTCTTAGGCAGAGAGAAAGAGCTATGTGTGAGGATAACGGATGCAGACACGCTTTGTTTGTTTGTCTTGTTTTTTAAGTGATTGTATTGTATTGTATTTATTCAGACAAGCATGTCTAGGGATGCAGAAAAGGGTTTGAAAAACCCGTACAAGTCTGCATCCCTGATAAAAAGCAAAGTTCACAAATATTATTATTGCATAACATAGTTACAACAAAAAAATGATATCAAACACGATAATACATCAAATAATTATATACACAATGTAGTTTAGAGCGAAAATAAATACATAAAATATTATTGATTGCAAAACAGCATTATTGAATATACAAATGATTGGGTATTTCAGGGATCAAAATGCTATATAAAAAATTTTGCAGCATGATCTAAGGTAAAAATTAAAATATAGTTGATATTGCGCGAATTTGGATGTAATTGTATAAAAATGTAAAAACAAATTGTTATTGCGGAGTTTAAAAAGTTAAATATGTAAGCAACTTTTTAATGATATTTTGAAAGTTGAAAGAGATGGACTATTAATAACATTACTTGGGAGCATGTTCCACTCATTGGCAGTTCTTATATAAAAAGAGTTTTTGAAATAATCTGTTTTTGCAAATGGTACGTACATTTTCATATTATGATCATTACGCCCAATTCTGTGAGCACGTATAATTTTTTCAATCGGACCAACATTTACCATATTATTTATTATTTTATAAAACATGACTAATCTGTGGTACTTGCGTCTTTCTTCTAATTTTGCAAAACTTGATTTTTCTAATAGTTCATGGTAACTTGTTTCCCAGTCTCTAAACATCATTCTTAAATATCGTTTTTGGACACGTTCAATAATATTTATATGTGAAACTCTATAGGGGTCCCATGCAATACAACAATATTCTAGACATGGACGTATAAGAGAGTCATATAAGGTTTTAAACACAGAACGTGGGCAATTAAGAAAATTTCTTTTGATTATAGCTACAATCTTACTACACTTTGCGTATGTTTCGTTACAATGAGAATTAAAATTAAGGGTATCATTTATAGTAATGCCCAAATACTTTTCTGACTTAGTGTTAATTAATTTATGTCCACCCAATTTATATTCATACTGTGGTTTAGAGGACTTTCTTGACATTTGCATTATCTTACATTTGTTTACATTGAAATCAAGTAGCCATGAATTTGCCCACTTATCTAAATTTTCTAAATCCTTTTGTAAAAGTTTGCAATCTTCAATAGAGTGGATAGGCCTATATAAAATACAATCATCTGCGTAAAGTCTTATAGTTGAATCAATATTATAGGAAATGTCGTTTATGAAACATAAAAATATGATTGGACCTAAAATTGTCCCTTGTGGTACACCTGATTTTACGTCTACCCAATTAGAGTATTCACCATTGAGGACGACTCGTTGTGAACGATTTTTCAAAAAATTCATGATCCATTTTAAATTTGAATTTTGAATACCATACATTTTTAACTTTCGTTCTAATAAATTGTGCGACACGCTATCGAACGCTTTAGCGAAGTCTAAATATGCTATGTCAACACTATAGCCGGAGTTCATCCAACTACTCCAGTCGTGAATAGCTTCAATCAATTGAGTCTCGCATGACCGCTTTTCGCGAAAACCATGCTGGTTATCACATAAGACATTGTGTAGATTAAAATGATCAACAAGATGTTTACAAACAAGTTTTTCGAGTAGTTTACAAGTAAGTGATATTGGGCGATAATTACCCGGGTCTTCTTTGTTACCTTTCTTAAGAAGGGGAGACACGTTTGCTCTTCGCCAGTCAATTGGTAACTCTCCTTTAGAAAGTGACATATTGAACAATTGACAAAGCGAGGGTCCATCAGGACCTTGAGCCTTATTAACGTCAATGCTTTTGAGCAACTTACATACGTCAGCGACACAACAATGAATATCACTCATGGCAGGAACATCATTTCTTTCTTCACATGGTGGAAAAGGACCATCATTAGTGTCTTTAAATACAGACTCAAATTGTTTGTTTAGAGTATCTACTTTTTCTTTATCGTCAGTAAAAGTAATTCCATTTACCTTCAGGCACGGAATCGGGTTTTGCACTTTTTTTCTTTGATTTAACAAAATTCCAAAATCTTTTGGGGTTACTTTTGATGTCCTCACAGAGGTTGTTTTGCAAATAATCTTTATATTTTAGCTTAATAAGTCTTTTGGTGTCTCGTCTTATTTTACGAAATTTATTCCAGTCGGATTGTAAATTCGATTTTTTAGCTTTTTCGAAAAATTTCCTTCGTTTCCGAAACAGTCTCTTAACGTCTTTATCTATCCACGGAACGTGATATTTTCTTGTTACTTTTCTATGAGGTACGTTCTTATCTACAACATTAAGTATAATGTTTTTCCAAGATTGCCATGATGATTCTAAGTCCTCTTTTACAAGTGATTCCGTTAATGGTGCGTTTTCTAAATCATTTCTAAATTTGTTAAAATCTGCTTTTGAATAAGAATAAGTCATTCTGGGTTTGCAACCTTTTCCCTTTAATGTACAATTAATAATAAAAACAATAGCCTCATGGTCGCTTATACCGGGAATAATATTCACATTACTAACAATGGATGGATCAGATGTAAATAAAAGATCTAATATGCTACTGGTGGTATCAGTGATCCTTGTAGTTTGCGATATGTGTTGATATAAAAAATTGTTCTCGATGATCCTAAGTATATTTTGTGTTAAATCAGTATTATCTATTTCTACAATATGTCCGTCTTGCCACTTTAATTTAGGAAGATTGAAATCACCGGTTAGAATAACATTTCTAGCCTTCTTACCATGATTTGATAATATCGACATAGATTTATTAAGCTCTTTAATCACATCTAAACTACTGCTCGGTGGTCTATAAAACACACCTACAAACAAAGATTTATTATCGTGACATATTACTTCACACCAAAGGATCTCACAATCTGTTTCCAGGTCTGGTCTAGGTGTCACAGACAAATGGGTTTTGTAGGCAATAAGAAGGCCACCGCCATGCCGATTTCTATCTTTTCTTATAACGATATACGTTTGTGGAAATATTTCATTAGATAAAATATCCTTACTTAAATGCGTCTCCGTACATACAAATATATCAGGATTTTCAATTTTGATAATTGTTTGAATTTCTTCAATCTTATTAACAACACTTCTTGCATTTAAGGAGATACATTTCAAACTTTTCAAACTTTTAGGTGTGTGAGAACTGTTTTGCGTGTGATATATTACGTCACTTTCATTCAATTTAGGTTTACGTAATATATCCCCTTTGTTTTGATTCACAGTACATGAAACAGTGTATGAATTTATGAGTTTACAATTGTCTACATAAGGCAGTTCTTCAATAGGTGAGTGACATGCTCCAGTACAATCTATCTGGGCACTCTCTTCTTGGCCTGTGTGCTAATAGTAGAACGGACATATTTTTGCCTTGTGACCGTATTGCATGCAGTAACGGCATTGGAGTTGCATTCCGTGTCGACATGCTCGGGCTCTGTGGTTCTCTTCTCCACAATTTTCACATCCTAACATGTATAAATCGTCGTATAGAGAGGATGTGGGAGGGTTCACTAGAGCAGATGCGTAGGAGGCTCTTTGGCGCGAATTGAATAGAGCACGTTGTTGGTCATAAATGTAGTCTCTTGGAGGTTCCTGGTTCAACATACTGTGTGATAGTTGCTGTGAATTGATGGGAGGGTACTGGTTTCGATATTGTTGGTTGAAAGGAGTGGATGGGGGCTGGGATTGGGCATTTCGGTAGAAAGGGGAGTTGGGGAAGTTGCGGCGGTGCTGATCGGGTGGTGGGGCAGTTGTCTGCTGGTAACGTTGCTGAGTGAGTGGTGGGCCTGACGGGTTCGGTAGCGAGGCCGGATGTTGACGGTTTCGTGCTTGCATGGGTTGGAAGTTCTGGTAGGGGGCTGGAGGAGGTTGTCGAGGTGCTCGAGTGGTATCTGATGCTACCGGTGTTGGGAGTGAGGGATGCTGACGGCTGCGTGGTTGGGGGTTCTGGTCGACTGGCCGTGTTCGGGTGGTTCCAGGTGGTGTGGGTTGGTCAGATCGGCTGCTTGACGAGGTTGATTGAGATGTTTTCAATGTAGCTGTGTTCTTCTGCTGAGGTGATGGGTGTGACGGCGGAGTGTCTAACAAAGCATCGATCACATGCTGCACTTTCTTTAACTCCATGGATAATTGGTCTAATCTAAGTGGCATGCACTTACATTTCATGCAGATTGTCTCGCTGTCGTGACATTTTAAATCACATATTTGACATTGGCTTGCATCTCTATTGTCATTAGATGAGGGCACTTGACTGACAATAGATTCGTCTTCTTTGTCTGTCTCACTCGGTACTTCTACGTTCCGGGTCAGAACAAAATGGCTGCATATGAACGGGTTTAGGAGTGGATATATGCGGATGAGATTGTCTTTTATATGTTCATTATCTAAGTCTACGTCTGAATGAAGGAGATGAGATGAACATATTATCTGTACAGCGTGACGGATGCTGCTAACGGTTATCCCTTTCGGTAATTTATAGGAAAAATTGTCCATTCCAGGGGTTCCCTTGTATCTGTTTGTTCTCACCGACGACGACACTCATGTGAGTAGCAGCAAACCATTGATTGGTCTATCTGGGACTCTTCTTACAGGGACTGCTGGTGTGACCAGTCAACAATTATCTCTTGATACCTAAACTGGCTATTGCACAATATATACAAAATCAAATAAAAGGCTTGGTTACATAAACCTTGAAAATAATGATAATAATAACACTGCTTATAATAATAGTCCATTCTTTTTTATCGCTTAATACTTAGTCTCTATGCGCTTCCAAAGAGCTTCAGAAATTATTACTGAATTAGATAGATTAGATTATTAGATACATGTACATCATTTTCAACAATACAGTCCAACAAGCTATTTAGGAATCCTCTGTAGTATGCTTTGATATAAAGTCGATTTCTTAATTGATCTTCTTGTACTGGAATACAGAACTCTATATAAGACATGTGTCTAGGAGCAACTCTTATAAGGAGAGAGATACATTAGTGATCTTACCTCTAGTGTAGAAGTCAAGTATTCCAGATTACACTGTAGTACATCAGTCTCCTCAAAGTCCATAGTAGTATCCAGGGCCCTTGATCCTTTACTTCCAACATTCTCCTACAAACAAACGAACAATCATGGGTTTATAATCATTCAAGAAGGGCCATGAAGAGCAATCATTTTGTTTCTAACATACTCTAGGATAAAAAGGTAAAAGTATGAATTAGTTATAGTCTAACATTGAATTTTTATCCCAAGATACTTCCAAAATTACTGCAAACAGTAGGATGTTCAAATAGCTGTCATAGAGTTAGAGCAGGGTTTTAAAATACACCTTGTGCTTGTTGAGGATCATAAAATGACATGCAACCAAGGCAATTTCAGAATGCTTAAGGTATCAATAGACAAATACTGGATTCTACAAAAAACATGAATAGCATAAGTCACAAGCCTACCGTTTGCATCAATTTATTGCACAAGCCTGGAGGTCCGTCACTCTAACGTTAATACTCGTTTCAACTTATGTATTTGTTCTAAATTATGTCAGGGCTCATCATACTAAACACACAGGAAGCTTACAGGTTCAAATTTCACTTGAAATGGTAATATTGATGCAGTTTATAATTATATTGCAACCAATGTATAAATGGCAATTAAAATCATGAAAAAATCAGATATAATTCAACAAGGTACATGTATAAAACAATCAATGTTCATGAAAGCAAGATTTTGATAAATAATAATAAATGTTGCAATCATCTTACCTTGATATGTTGGACAAAAGGCATGACCTTCTTCATGAACTTCTTGAGTAAGTCATTACTCTTCAGTTGATCAAGAATCACCTTGTTGTCTGGAAAGGCTCCATTGTTAGCCTGTAATCGAGTCAATATCATCTAGTATCAATCTAAAGATTACACTAGTCAAACATTTAAAGTGCATAACAAGGAAATAATATCATATTATATCCTAAAATATGATTATTTACTGTATCTCACTGTATCACTTGTAAAACTTTATATTAAATGTGTTTATAAACAGTGTATTATAAACTGAAATGAAAAACGAGGGAATACATTCTGATTAATATTTCGTCAATATAATGTACTTGTTATAAATAAACTTGTAATGAACAAATCATTATTAACTGATCCCCAAAAAGCAAACATGGTATCCTTTCATATTTGGAGGTTAACCAAATATAAAAATTTTAAAATTTGCTTGAACATCTGCCTAAAGTCGTAAAAAAACTCTGAAAATCTATAAAAAAAATTATTAAAAAGTGACCGTAAAGAATCATTTAATATATTCTTTCTCTGCCTAAAAGTTCTTGGTTCCTTCAAGTAGAAATACTAATAAGATATGGTTCACAGTAGAAATACTAATAAGATATGGTTCACAGACTTGCTTTCAAGATTGTGTTTACAGTAACCGCAATCATCAAAATACAAATAATGTTTTACAAATAATGTTCCTACCTGCCAGAGTTCTTTGAGCTTTGTGAGTACTGCATTCTGCCAAGGAGGGAAGATCTTTGCTACATAGATGGTACCATGGGTAGGCTTCTTGGGAGGAGGGGCTCCTTTCTGTATGAGAGAGAGAGAGGGAGGGGGAGAGACAGAGACAGAGAGAGGTAGAATTATACTGATAATCTAGAACCATTGCAACTATAATCACGATTCAGGATTGGTCCTTGGCTAAGATCTCTGAGCAACTAATATGGATAGTCAAGCAAATCAAACTAAATTTTTTTAATATTTAATATGCCTTGACCAGTAATTCTCTTGTATGAGAAAGTGATTGTATTACTTCAAACTTGATGGAGGTTATGTGAGAGATAAATAAATTGAATTTGATCATTATCATGTTTATGAGATTCTTAGATACAAGGTAATAGCTATGATTAAGGAAAGGAGGGCTCCCTGGTCCTTTCATGTATACATTAGAAACTGAGGTATTTAATCTTCAGTTCTCAACATCTCTGCCACTACAAATACAATCTATCTACCGTACTTGTCTGCCAGCCACCACACACATGCTAAAACCCATCTACAATTACTTACCATTCTGAAATACTATATTTACATGAAACAATGATATCCATATCATTCACAATTCAATGACTATTATACTAATAGGCTAGAGTAATTAATCTTATCATTAAATAAATGCAAATGAATGTTGCTGAAATGAATATGAAATGATTGTTACAGTAGTCTTTCTTCAACATTATCTTTTCCTTTTCTGAATGTCTTCTTTGTGCATCATGCAAACATAGTGTGACACATCAGAATTACATTCTGTGCTGGTGTACTAACAACAAATCAGTGAAAGGGTTGAATAATTGTGAACTCCATACCAACGAAAGCTTATTAACAAGTCACACATCACATACAGGAGAAATCTCACATCCTTCACCAAACACCTTTGGACTACATTCAGAAAGAAGTAATATCTATGTTATCCAATTCTATTCTCCTAAAATAAAATGGGGGTTTCAAACTTAATTTTAAGACATTCCACAATGTTATGCAAAGAATTTGAATTGCTGTAATGCATGCGGTTGAGTGAACACACATCACATGAATTAGATTGATATTGTCTATTCTACCTACATCAGTGAACTGTTGAAACCAGGATTGGAAGAAAACCAGGGGCTGTCTAATACTCACCATAGCCTGTAGGTAATAACATGTACTTAACAAATATCTAATCCATCCATATTGCTCCTGTTATTTCATTATACTACCAACACTTAATCCAACCACTCCCATGAACATAAAAAATACAATATAAATGGTGTAGCAGACAGTATTTTAAACTTCACTGAGAATCAACCGAGTCCCATTTATAATTAGACACCATACAATCATCACATAGCAGACTTGTAGATCTTAAACTTAATCTTAAACATTGTGGAGCGGTGTGTGCAGCGCTTTTTAACTACAAGGAAAAGGCGGTATATCAAATATCTTTTAGATTGGATTTTATAAACTGATACTCGTCTTGTCTTTATACTAGTACTTCATTCAAGTTACCACGGTAATAACATGGAACGGACAGACAGACAGATGAACGGAAAAGATAGACACTACCTTCAGTGGCAGAAGTATGAAAATGATTCGCAATCCTGAATGTGCATGTAAATTACATTGTGCAAAGGGCATGTGTAGACTAACAGCTATTTTATGGTTGGAATACACCAGTTTACAATTGTGTGCGCCATTTTAATTGGCGAGTAAACAAGGGCCAATGACTTAAAGGTCATGTATTTATGCGTAAATTAAGATTACGCCCATGCAAATTATGATGAAATCACTGCCTGCGCGCTGCGTTGTGCGCGCACATTATCATTTGCATCATCATTACGCATAAATACCACTGACCTCTAGGTCATTGGCTTTGTTTACTCACCATTTAAAATGGCGCCCATGTCTGCGCATGCGCACTGATACAACTGTAAACTGGTGTATTAAAAACTTTCATAAACTACATCGATTTCATATCATCTGGAACCAATTGCACAGAGCCTTTTCTCAATGACAAATGACAATAATCAGAAACAAATCTGCTAATTACCAATCAGAAGCAAGTCATTTGTCACTGATGACAAGTTATGTGAAATGGGGCCCTGGATTACATATTCTTTTTGAAAGTATACTATTCTTTGTATAAAATGTAAAAAATACAACATTAAAGATTTGTGTTATCTTTAATCAGTTAGAGCACATCATGTCTACCACACAAGGTTTGCCTTCTGTTATTAGAAGAGTTTGACGTTACCTTCTTAGGAGGGTTGAGTGCATTCTTCACCCTTAGACGTAGCTCATGAGCAGTATCCATCAGGTACTCTGATGACCGTACTAAGACATCATCCACAGCACCAGCTACAGGCCATGAGGCTCGCATTAATAATCCATCCTATCACAAAACATAGAGCTCATTAACACTTGGTTACTGTACAATACTCATCAGACACAAATGCATGAATCATACGTTACCATACCATGCGTTACTGAAAGTTCCCTGTATTTAAAATGATCTCATTTCTGGTTTTGAAACTGTATTTTAACAAAATCATTCAAAGATTCAAAACATTAGTCGGAATAAATATTCAGTAACAACTACATATGCTATAAATATATGATTGAAAAGAAAAGTTCAAATATTAGCTAGTTATCTCGACTAAGAGTAGAGCAATAGGGTTTCAGTACCCATTAATTTAGTAAAACTATACAAGAGTTTTACAGATACCAAATGTTAAAAGTGCTACTTACTTTGCGTAGAAGAGACCAGATGTGTTCACATAGATGAGGGCAGAATGGAGCAAGTAAGAGGGTCTGGACCTCAATGAATCTCAGGATAAGGTCTCTATGCACACCTTCAACTGACAGTACGTAGTACTTGTCTCGGATTGCCTGTTAATCATAAAACCATGTATTACAAATTACTCAGTCTAATCGGAACTTCACTAATACAGTGTCATGCGTAAACAATAATCATTTTGGCATAAAAATATTCTTGACCTCTGGTCAAAACGGCAGATATGAAATTTGCTACTAACTGCTGGGCAATGTAGTAATAAAAGATTGACCAGGCATAGCTCTACTTGCGCATGCAACGCAAGGACACACTGGTAATGTGTGAAGTCAACAATGGATATGCGCAGCGAGACACATGCAATGTTTTTAGACTTTAAGTTTCCCTAGACTCTACAAATAAATACATTTTTGATGGGCGAATTTCGTTAATATCTCTTATGACAATTGACAAGGGGAAGCATTAAATAAATCAAATATTGACAGCTTATTTTTCAGGTCACAGTTAAAGCTATAGCTCCTCAGTGATTCCCAGATTGCACTCTGCCCTGGACTTTGTCTCAGGGCACAGCACAGTTCCAACATTGCCTTGGGCAATAGTTTTAACCATGCCCCTCAAAGCAATCAATATTTGGACACTACCTTCCTAAAGTGAAAAGAACAATTAAACTATAATTTGACATTTTTTTTTACTATGCATGCACAGCATCTGAATGCTAGATGATTACCTGGAGCTCATAGAAGCCAGTTCTCAAGGCTTCTTTGAACATCATACGATCATACTGCTTCTCAGTGTCCAGTATGGCCTTGTTTATCTCGCTGGCAAACACCTTATCATTGAAGGTATCACACGGTCCCGTTCTGAAGGTATCCTGTTTCTCTAGAGTTTCCTTGGTCCACTCGAGAAAGGTGTAAAGACGTAGGATTCCAGCCTCAGCTACGGCCTCCTGGAAGTTAGCATCCTCGACAGCCGAATCACCAGAATCAGCCAAGGCAAGACGCATACCTACAACAACAAACAACAACAACGTAATAATGATAAATAATAATAGTGGCTTCTTGTATACCCTTCATGTCTGTCAGACTCAACACTCTTGGTGCTCTACAGACATTTCCCAGCTTTAGCATGGCTGACATTATGTTGCTCTATAGCATTGTAAGATCCTTACCAACTACCACTTCTCTGCACCTTGGTGGAGTGTGGTAAATGCAAATGTCTTGCCAAAGGGCATAAGTGCAGTGGCAATGATTAAAACTTGTACTCTTTTTTCAAGTCCAGTAATCAATTCATTAGACTGCAACACGTCTACCTACAAGAACAACATACACTGTACACAAGACGAGGAAACCTCCAAAGACCTTTGTGATCATAAATAATATGAGTTTTAACAAAAAATAATTATGATTTTGTTTTAATTTGACTTTTATCTTTTCCAGCCTTGCACACCTTTTGAAAAACTGTTTACAAGAATCGGACATACCATTTCAGAGGCATGACCTATTGACCTAATGTTAGCAATAACCTGTCAGATAGAATTTCAGAGAAAAACATTTCTTCAAAATGAGACTAACCCTCAAGCTATCGCAAAGTGACAAACTCTTGTTGAATGATATCTACTTGATGCATCACTCAAAACATACATACCATCTGCAGAGAACTTCTCTATAGCATCAGCAAGGGTCAAGAAGTTTCCTGTTGACTTGGACATCTTCTCATTGTTAAGCATGAGATGACCATTGCAACGGGTTCCTTTAGGCCATCTACATCAAGATAGAAAGAGAGTTGACCATTAGGTCATCTATATCAACATGCAGATCAATATCAACAAAGGGTTGTTTTCTTCCTCTAAAAATCTAATCATCACTGGTCCATATGAGCACTGTCAAATGCTGCATCACTAAATAGTTACCAGACAGAAATATATTCATCACAGAAAAATAAATTAAAAAGGGCTGCATAACTTTTCAAAAACAACACTGATCATTTCAACCAAAGAATAAGCTGTAAATTCCAAATTGAATGTTATATTACATTATAAAAAAGCAAAGAAAGATTTTCATTTTTATTGAATGTTGCAGAATGATTACCTGTTCTCTTCATCCGGCCAGATAGCACCATGATTGTAGATCCAGTAGGTAAGATGGTTAGGAATGAGATCCTTACCAGACACTCTCAGATCTACACCATACCAATACTGAAACTCATGCCTCAGACGGTCTAACGTGGTCTTAGGGATTCCTGTGGAAGCAGGGAAAGGACTCTCGGTGAAGAAGATGTAGTTCCATACTTCAGGAGTCATCTGTCCGGGCCTGCAGATTCAAGCATCAGAATTGAAATAATGATAGCAAGAGCAGGTGAGAAACATGATCATTCATCATAATCATCATCATTTATTAAAGTCAGCATTCTCTCTCTTATGAGGTGTTACTGACTTTCGTGCCATGACACTCCCTCCCTCCACTTCTTGTTGTCTCAAGAATCCTCCTCATTTAGACCAACCTCACTGCCTTCTTTCTTCACATCTTCCCATTAAATATTTTACCTTCCTTTTCTCTCATGCCATCGAGTTCCGGATCCCATACTCTCTCAGGTTCATCATCTTCCCTTCTTAACACAACACATGACCCATCCATCTCAATCCATTTGTCTTCATTTCTTCCACCCCAGTTTCTTCCAGACCCAACCTTCCTGTAAGCTCACCTGTGTTCTTTCAACAATAAAAGCATAGGATATAATTACTTCCTGTAGACAAGAATGGATCGTTTAGTGTCTAAAGACTGGATGAAATGAGATATAGAAATGTCAGCTCACTTGATATGCAGAGGACTGGATCCTTGCCCATCAAAGACTCCACCTTGGAGCAGGTGACACACTGTGTAGTAAGCCATGTAGATGGTAGAATCAGACAGGGACTCTATCAGGTACTGCTCATCCCAAGGTAATTTGGTTCCTGCAAAATCAAATAAAAAGCACTTTAATTCATGGGATTGTAAAACAAAATAAATGGGATCACAAATCACTTACAAATATAGCTGCGTTCCAATCACCGGTTAACCTGGTATGTTTTATTTTTAAAAATTAAATATCTTTTGCCCAAAGTGTAATCTTAAATCACACCATAAACTAAGTTTTTTTTTAACTGTGCAAGGACAATCTGAAACAACAGGATACTGCAAAAGCAGCACAGAAACCGTGACAATCTGTGTAGCATGGTTTTGCGAAATTCATCCAACGCTGACAATCTGTGGAGCAATGACAAATGTTGCCATTATTATTCTCATTATCATTATTATGTTAGAATCAAACCAAGCAACTCACCTAGACCATATGACCTAGAGCATGCATGCTCATGAAGCCAATCTAAAGTAGCCACAAAGTTCCTGTGTGTCTCCTCTGCATATCTGTACACAACAAAACAAGGTTGTCATAATAATAAATCTTCCTTTGTTGATGCTGTCATTCTTTTCAGTGTTCCAAACTTTAATACTTAAGTGTAGCTTTAATAGAACCATAGTGAGTGGTCATTTTTTTAAATGCCAAACAAAGCATTGTAAAACTGTTACTTTCTGTATATATCAAACTATAACATTTGTCAAAATTCTAAATGCATCTTAACATGTGATTTTTTATAATCAAACTTACTTATTGTATGAACCAATATCATTTTGCTCAATATATGATCTCTTAAAAACCCATTTTAACAAAACCTGGATTATTGGTGCAGGTCTACTTACGTTTCCATACTTGCTAGGATCTTGTCTGCTTGTTCTCTCCACGGTGGTGTACCATAGTCCAGATACCACTGATCACATAGAGCTACTACACATTCTTCAGCTGAGCGTGATACAACCTTCTTCTCTGGTTCATAATAGATCACAGCATTCCCATCCTTCACCATCTTGAGCTTGACCTCCTTCTTGATATCCTTCACCTTCTGACCTTTGAACTCTCCTACCAGTATCACCTGAGATTAACAATGCAATTCAATTCAATTTCAATTCAATTTCAATTCAATTCAATTTCAATTCAATTCAATTCAATTTCAATTCAATTTCAATTCAATTCAATTTCAATTTGATTCAATTCAATTTCAATTCAATTCAATTCAATTCAATTCAATTTCAATTCAATTCAATTCAATTTCAATTCATTTTATTTCCAATTTTCGTTAAAAATACATTCAACAATACATTATACATATAAGCAAATATATAAACAATACAAAGAATATGGAGGAGCCAGCAGAGGCCATTGGCTGTTCAAAGGCTGGGCTCCAATGGCCGCGGATAATTATACAAAGTAAAGAGAAAAGAAACAGCAACATTACTCTCTCTGATAATGGAGACTACCATTGTAACAAGTAAAGTACAGAAAACAATCTTTCATGCCTTTGTCACAAGGCAAGAATCTCCAGCCATGCATATTCACATGATAATGGAGATTTTATAATTGTAACAAGTAAAGTAGAGCCTGCGACACTGTTGCAAAAAGCATCCTAGTCATGACGATTGCTGTAACTCATTCTGTGCTACTGAGTTTCATACAACTATCATAAATAATCCTTAAGGAGTCATACTAATTTTTTTTTTTCCTTCACAAATATAAATTTGCATGACTGCAAAGAATATAAAACTCTAAATGAACTTGTATACAATGGTTTTTGAGTGTTTGTGGGTATGAGCCTATATGAGATGGTTACCTTCTGTACTAAATTCTTGTTTTTTATATCTTGTAAGTTACATTTATTGTAATTTAACTGCATATTGTATTTAACTTGTGAGGGGCCTATTTACAAGCACAAGTCTCATGATTCCAAATAAATTTGAATTGAATTGAATTGAATTGGATTCTTACTCCTTCATTGAATCCTTTGAGATAGACTTTCTCCTTAGCTTCCTGGAGTTGATCTCGATCATTCTGGCTCCTGATCTTGAACTCATCACATGCTTTCACTGCTGATAGATCACCATACCCTGGAACCTCTATGATCGGTACAGGCTCAAAAGGTAATACCATCTTATCCAAGATACCATACTTCTCTCGGAAATCCTGCGGAGGGGGGAAGGGAATCATAACGTTAACATTTCCTCTGGAAAATGGACAAATCTCATGATACAAGTTATATTTTCTTCTCCAAACTCTGCATGTCTACAGAAGGATGGAATGATCATCATCATCATCATCATCCTCATGACTATCATCATCCTCATGATTATCATCATCCTCATGATTATCATCATCCTCATGACTATCATCATCCTCATGATTATCATCATCCTCATGATTATCATCATCCTCATGATTATCATCATCCTTATGATTATCATCATCCTCATGATTATCATCATCCTCATGATTATCATCATCCTCATGATTATCATCATCCTCATGACTATCATCATCCTCATGATTATCATCATCCTCATGACTATCATCATCCTCATGATTATCATCATCCTTATGATTATCATCATCCTCATGATTATCATCATCCTCATGATTATCATCATCCTCATGATTATCATCATCCTCATGATTATCATCATCCTCATGATTATCATCATCCTCATGATTATCATCATCCTCATGATTATCATCATCCTCATGATTATCATCATCCTCATGATTATCATCATCCTCATGATTATCATCATCCTCATGATTATCATCATCCTCATGATTATCATCATCCTCATGATTATCATCATCCTCATGACTATCATCATCCTCATGACTATCATCATCCTCATGATTATCATCATCCTCATGATTATCATCATCCTCATGACTATCATCATCCTCATGATTATCATCATCCTTATGATTATCATCATCCTCATGATTATCATCATCCTCATGATTATCATCATCCTCATGATTATCATCATCCTCATGATTATCATCATCCTCATGATTATCATCATCCTCATGATTATCATCATCCTCATGATTATCATCATCCTCATGATTATCATCATCCTCATGATTATCATCATCCTCATGACTATCATCATCCTCATGATTATCATCATCCTCATGATTATCATCATCCTCATGACTATCATCATCCTCATGATTATCATCATCCTCATCATCGTCGTCCTCCTCCTCCTCGTCGTCATCATTATATTATTATTATCCTCATCATTACTGTTGCTGTTAATGTTATAGAGGTAGGATTTTTCATAGTCACATGTTAGCATATCTTAATATCTGACCTTTTTCTTCTTGAGGTCCCTGAGGGCAGCATAATCATCCGGGGCATCTGAAGGTACACTGGTGACCACACCCGTTCCTTTGTTCTCTTTGATGGTCATCATGGGCAAGGTGTAGATCACAGGATACTTGGTAAGGGGTGCACTCAAAGCCACACCCATGATATCCTAAAGGGGGTAAAGGTCAATTTGGATTCATTTAAACTCAATTCATGAAAGCTAGCAATGAATACCAATAGCAACAAAAAGATGATTGAATACATTTAGGTTTCAATTGATCTTGATCAAACAACCTAAATTATTCCAATGATTATTATTTCAAACGATTTTTGTTGAAATTCTTTCATTTTTGTTTACATAACCTCATACTATATTTGTCTTTTCTGTTTGACTAACCACATAATCCACATATATGAACTTTCATTCATCAAAGCCAGTATGTTTAAAACAAACTCTTGAAAAAACTTCACTTTCAAAACTGACCCATTTAATGCCGTAGGTGGTTTATATTACCTGAATTGTAATATTTTGGGTACAGAAAAGCTTCAAATTCTTCTTGACATTCCAAACAAGTTAATGAATTCTGAAGTAATCTGTCAAATTTCTATCAACAAAGAAAAAGGAAACAAAACTCAGAGCTTCTCTATCACATCTTCTGGTAATGCATGTTTGTAAACTTGGTGGTTGTAAGAATTAACCTCTTATTGCCATTGGAAACCCTATAGTCATGGTTTAAACTTCTCATTAACAGTAGAGTTTTGTTCATGATAAAGTTAAGAGCTCTGAGGATAGTTCTACCTGTCCAGTGAGTTCTGCAACTACATCCACAACACCATTTGATTTAGTCATTCCTTGGAAAGAAGCATTCCTTGCCGCTCGTTTGGTGCTGATGAAGATCTCTCCACCGGCCATCTCATAGGCAATGTAAGGAATATCAGGTCGTACCCAGCAGTTGGTCTGACCATACATGGTCTCTGGGCGCAGAGTAGCAGCAACTAAGAACACATCCTTGCTTTCAACATTCCTGAAATCAAGTCATAAATATAAAACATCATACCTACAAGGAAACTGACACAACCACATGACTAACATTAATGATTCTATCACAGAATAAACTGAATATGAGTATCAATGAATATGACTTAGATATTTATTTCTTACAATATCAAAACAACTGGACATTTTGTGTAAATATTTATTTTATTTTTATTCATGAGTCACTGGTCAACTAACTCCCCTTTCATGACATGGATTTCTAAGCGCTAAATTGATCCATGTTGTTCTTCAAATTGGCAACAATAATATTTTCCTATGAATGAAACATTCATAAAAAATGGAATGTCTCTGAAAAAGATATACCAGTGGTAAGGACTTTGTCAAACAGTTGAGAAAATGGCCAAATAGGATAGAAAAACAATTTCTTTTAACCTCTCAATGTGTTGCCAATTTAAGGATTTTTAAGTAATTTGATTTTGTTTAAATTCCTGGCATTAAACACAATATGGTCATGCACCATGAATATGGTTTGATGAGTATACTTACTTGAGTTTCGCTGGATAGGGTTTGTTGAGTTTCATCTTGATGAGTGTATATTCCTGAGGTCCAACATTCTCTCCAGACTGCCTATCATGATCCATGCAAGGCTGTCCATCCTTGGGGGAGTAGATGGTGTAACGCTTCCCAAACTTCACCTTCTGACGTTTCTTGAGGAGTAAGAACTGCCATCTCACAAATGAGTCGTAGAATGGGTTCACATCAGTGGTGATGAAGGTACGTCGCCAGTCAATCTAATCATAAAAGATGACAGCAATGATATTTTTTAGTAGATCCATCCCTACTATCACAGGTTGAAATCAATTATTTTCTTCATCAGCATTGGTCATATCAATTGCTATTTTAATCAAACTAAACAATCTTGCAGTGCTTCTGGTCTGTGTAAAAGATATTTTCTTTTTTGTTCACAGCGAACTCTTTTAGGATTTGATGTTGTATCAGTTTCTCACAGTGATATTAAAGTATTTTATTGTTTTTTACCAGAGCTCTTTTCCAATATACCTGAGCACTTTTGGATTTTCTGAGGTTAAACGCTCACTGCTTCTGTGTATCTTTTTTTAACGCTGCTTCTGGTATTACTGATGCTTTAAAGAGTTACTTTGTGCTATACATCACACTTCACACAACATGAACTTAGTCTTCTTACATGGTTACTTACCTTACAACCCATCCGAGATACATCTTTCTTGCACATAGGAGGGAAGTAGTCGAGCCAGTGAAGAGCATCTGCAAACTTTGGAATGTCTTCTGGGAGAATCCCGAGGTTCACCATGATCTGCCATTGCCATTTGACCCCTCCAGTTTTGGCTGCAAGTTTGCTCTATCATAAAACAAGTCAAAGAGAACTTTCGTTCTTTAATTGTGACATCTCTGGGACATATTAACACTTTACACCAAGATATTTGTAGCGTTTTCTCGGCTATGGGCCTGGTTACTTTGCAAGTGCTTCTCATCATTTTCAGGAAAGCACATTTTCTTTACCATGACATCTTTGTGGCATGCTCAAACTTTTCAACAAAATATTTCTTTGAGGTGTAAAGCGTTTCCAAGGTAATGCGCCTTGTTTACTTTCTTTTCCAGGCTCTCATTTCAGCCAAAATGAACAGCTTCAACCCTCACACAAACATTCCACTCACATTTCCACTAACATTTCCACAATGGCCTGAAAATAACCTGTCTGATATCTGACATCCTTAAAGATAAAGTTGAGTTCTGGTCATGCAATTGCATTGTGATAGAAACATTGTGGAATCGATCAAAAAAGGTTGATCATTTAGCATATAAGCATATGTATGTACCGCAAGGTTCTGGAATCATCAAAATGATAAGAAATTCGGGCCAGTCTTGGTAAAGTTACAAGCACTGTACACAGAAAGATGTATATGGGACTACATGAACATGTGTTATAACATAACGTTCCGATTTTTATGATGTTACATGCCATATATGGTCATATATATAGAAAATTAAGGTATTTTAAGAGAGATGCTTTTCAGAGAACATTTTCTATCTGATGTTCTTCCACACTTGCATAATACAATAACGCTCACAAATAATTTTTGACCTCTTCCCAGAACTCAAGTTTCTCTTTAATACCGGTAACTTACTTTCTTTCCTTTAGCCTTGTCTTTGATGATTGGCTCATCTCTCTCCTCTGTAGCTACCTTCTCTTCCCCTTCTGCAGGAAATACAGGTGGGCAACCAAACATTTCCATCTCTCTCTTCAACTTGTCAGCACATGCCTAGAGAAGATTTTTTTTTAAAATAACAATAACATTGTCATTCATTGATTTCTTACTTTACCCTGGATGACATGAAAAGCGTACATGTACTTAAAAATGAGGCAGCCATTGGGGGCACTTATTTCTTAGATTACTTGATGTTTCTTGCTAACATTACACAATGTTTGGTATAGTTTTGGTATGAACTAAGACTGTCTGGACCAATGATAAGTACTCTAACCTCACAACTATTTTTCGTCACCTTTTATATGAATAGAATTTGTCATAGGTTGAAAGGTTTTACCTTCTGTGACACAAGGAAGGGAGTAGTCTGCAGCCACAGACTCTAATTTAAAATTTTATCACAATTCTTAAAGCCTTGAACAGAGCTTAACTCAATTTCTGGATGTGTCAAGGAGCAGCTAAGGTACAGAGCCTATACATAGTCTCATATGGCAGACACTCTTATGCACAATGACTGACAAGGGTTTGTGCCCTGCAAACTGATTGGCTGAGGGTTAATATATGGCATACACAACATTTAATAAGATGATTAAAATGAAAAGAAGAGGAAAAAAACACTACCTTGATGGGCATTCCTGTGCAGTGAAGTCCAAATGGCCAGAGACAATGCTTGCCTTTCATCCTCAGATATCCAACTATGAACTAGACAACGTAGGAATAAAAAAACAAGTCTTACATAACAAATTAAACAAACACATCAACATAGTATCTTCACCATTGGGATTATTTAGGAATATGGGGACAAACACAGCAAGGCACATATGGGACTAGAAAATACAACTAGAATTCTCCCCCATTGTAACTAGGAATATTGTTTCTACATGTGACAGCAATAACTCAATCAAAATTTTAGGAATAGACTAGTGCAATGTCTGGTTTAGAGTGTAGCATTGTATGGCTCTGAAACTTGGAAATCAGGAGAGCAGAGAAAGGTTGATTGACAGTTTAGAAATGCGGCTGTGGAAAAGAATGAAAGAAATTAGTTGGAGGGAGAGGGTCACCAGAAGTCATGCAAAACACAGATATTGGAGACAACATCATGTTTTGGGTTTTTTTTAAATTCTTTTTTAATTCAAGCCACATCGTTGCAACATTCTTTTAATCACTCTGTCGATTACTTGCAACTATATGGTAGCATTTCATAATTTATCAGCAGATGAACAAGGAAATCATAGAGTTCAACTTGACCTCTCATTCCTATTCATTAGGGTAAAATGTATCCCTTCACTGAACTAATCATTATCATATACAAACAACTGCGCCCTCTCCTGAGTAAGAATAAATGACCAAAGCTTACCTCTGCCTTGGAGAAGGAGAAGGTATGACCAAGGTGAAGTCTTCCATTCATGTATGGGTAAGGAAACGTCACAAGAAACTTATCCTTCCTGTATAGAAAACAAAGAGCATCACAATTTTATGAGACATAGTATCATCTTTAGAAGCAACAAACACGGATGAAGCACAAGTAAGGAACCGATCTTAGTCTTGAGCACTTAATAGCAACAACTGTAACTGATACATTAATTAGACAGCCTTGAGTTCAGACCTGACGTGAAAAGAAAACCCTGGATAATTCCTGCTATAAACCAGACATTTTGGATGGATATTCCAAATAAAAAATTGATCTTTTAATAGGGATCCCCATTATAGCCTTGAACCTTACAGTCGTTACAGATACACATTACATATAAAGTGATTTAGCTTAACAACTATTTAGAATCTTTTCTTTTTTGTGTAAATTTCTTTGGTTTTCTGATTTTCATGTTTCATCAGAAGATGATGCTTAATTCTAACTACCGGTAACTAAAAAAGTAGCGACCATTAGTCGTCAAATCAGACCCTTGTACCCAATGGTCATATGTTTTGTGCTGCACAAAGATTCAATCAGTCTAATTTTGGCCATTACAACTACAAGTAGTGGGTTATATAGACAAATGCTCATGTACGTTATTACCAAAGAAAAAAAGATGTCAGTCAGTCACTCAATACAGTCTGACAGGGAAGTCTAGAAAGTAAACAGGTTTTCTTGCATAATTTGAATACTAGGACACTGCTAACGTTTAAATTTCACAGAAAAGACATACATGTACATGACATGTACATGACATATTCAGAATTCCTGCAAAGTTCTATAGAATTTGATGTTGGCTGCAAAAGGGACATCTTTAAGGCAGTCCATTACACTGGGTATTTTTTTGAATTCTCATCAAAATTTTGTAAAAAGAAAAGAATAACAAAAATTAACACAAAACTTTTGAAGAATCAAAAAGAAAAGTACTTACCCTGGTCCTGGTTTCTGGTAGTTTTTAGGAGCATCTTCCTCAAAGATCTTTTGATCAGTCCATATCTTCTGTATCTTCTCCTCTATGTTCTGCAAGGTGCGTACCTTAAAGGTTCCCTTGCGTTTGACTTCTACAGACTCTGTCATTCTTCCTCACACCTCACCTACAAGTCTAACAGTAACATGTGAAATAATGGAAACTTAATTTGAAAACAAGTCTATTTTTACTTTTCAGGTGTAGTTATTTCAACATCACAATGCAATATACAGTCAAACATGCTTTAGTGACCACCTGTCTATAAAGACTACATTTTTTTGTTTCCCTTGAAAACGGTTTCTCATTTAAACATGTACTAAATGAACCTGTCTACAAAGGCCACTTTTTGTGTTTCCCTTGGGCGGTCGCAACAGACAGGTTTGACTGTACCAGAAAGAAACAAACTGATTAAGGGGAGCCTTCCAAAGTTGCGACTGTGCCGCGACGCGTCGGGGCGCAGAGCAGGATATGAGAACAAAGGAGGCGCCTTTATGCGCCCATTAGCGCCTTTTTGCGTCGGATAGGAGAGGACTTCAGTTGGTTGCCAGCTCATTAAAATCTGGCTATTGTTTGGAGTCTCATTGTTACGAAATTACCCCGCCGGGGCGCGCCCCGGTGAAGCACTTGACATTTGTGAATGGGAGCTTAAACTTTGAATAGCTTTAGCGCCCTTTCGCGCCCGGTCCGGCGCATTAGTTATTCATGTAGTGCCCGCTTGTGTGTCGCTCTCGTCTTGCGAGATTTGACTCTGAAAAGCATTACTTTGGCTACTGATTTGTTTTAATATTATTTTACATACATGACATTGGTTACAATGTTTGTTCTGATTGTTTATTTTCCTCTCAAAATCGGAGTTCTGTAGGCGTTAACGTTGGCATGATTGTTCATTTTTTTCATCTCCTCCTGTTCTGTTCATGATTGTGTTCAATATACTGTATCAATTTTAATACAAATTGATTTGTTCACGAAAAAAGCAAATTTATTTTATACTTACCCCACTCTCTCTGACATTGTTTTCCTCGTGCATGTTTTGACACTTTAATTGTAATTTTATATTTCTTTATAGCGATGTTATTGTATGTTTCGATTTTCTTGTTTTTTTTTAAAACAATTTTTTTTGTTGCATCTTGTAAACAGTTCTGTCGTATGATCATTATAAATCATATAATTATATCATCAGTCTGTTATTTCATAGATCCTTTGAATCTTCTTAAAATTAGAGAACGTATTTTTAAATCCGTGATGTTGAAAATGATACTTAATCCAGAATGTCGTAGTTTCTCCATGAATTGGATTTAAAAAGCGTTTTATCTGTATTACGATGTTTTTTTAATGCAAATGATATCCGTATTGTCGGGAACATCATCAATATGTTTCGTTAGAAGGAAGACGCTCATTTTCAGAATGTTCTTTCTTTGCAAAACACTAATGTTACGAACAAAATTAAATACACTGTGCCCGTATCAAAGAATTTTATCGAATATTTCTTTGCGACGAAGGGGGGGGGGGGTTACATCCGCGGCCAGTTTTAGATCTAGGTCATTGTTAAGAATAACTAAAATACGTATATATTGTGCTGAATAGGGGCCACGTGTTATCGAAAGAGCGTAGTGCGTTCTAGAACAAATACAAGCCATGGCAATTCGTTGAATTGCTTCTCGTAACAGAACTGTCTCACCGTCTAAATAAGGATCCATCCGGGGGATCCATCATGCACGTGTTGGTATCAAGTAGTAAACGGAATTAATAATGATTGTGTTGTTTTGGGACATTTTTTTTCGGGGGGGGGGGGGGGCAGGGAGCCCGTATTCTTCTTCTACTGGGTCATCAAGAAACACAAATAGTGTTGAAATTTTCCGCAATCCCTTTAGCGCCGAGGGTAGAAAGCCTTTAGAAAAGTCAGCTGGACAATAGCAATTTAATGTTGGTCAAACAATCAGCGAGAAATACTGGGCAAACAGATATTAGCCCACGTCTTCAATATAACCAGGGAATCCCGATATAACTAAGCACATGCTCACAATATGAATATCAAATCTGGCTATTGTTTGGAGACTCATTGTTACTGTCTGGTAAAGGGGTACTTTTCACGCACCAAAGTCCGGCTCGTCTAGTACACACAAATCCGGCCCGTATTGACTTTACACACCGGACTTAGGGGACTGTTTTCAAAAGGAGGGAAAATGCATATGCGTACCCTACATAACACTCATTCGGGTGGGGGGGGGGGGTGCGCTTAAAGGCGAAGCACTTTTTGTGAATTGTGAATTTGTGAATTTGAAAAGCTTTCGCGCCCATTCCTACGCATTAGTTATTCATGTAATCCTCGCGTGTGTGTCCGCTCTCGTCTTGAAAGATTTGACTCTAAAATTTTCACGTTGGCTACTGATATGTTTTATCATTATTTTACGTACAAGACATTGATTTAGATTGTTGTTCTGATTGTTATATTCCTCCCAAACATCGAAGTTGTGTAGGCGTTGACGTTGTTATGATTGTTCATTTCTGTTCATTAATGTGTTCAATACTTGTATTATATTAATTTCTTCACGAACAAAACAAAAACGATATGTATAATTGTATTCCTTTTGTATGTTTTGACACATTATTTGGTTCATATTACATTTATTTTGTTCTGTCATCCGATCAAAATAGGTCATATATCTATATCATCACTCTGTTCTTTCTCATGCAAGATCGATTTAAAGAATAGAAACGTAGGTTCTCTAAATCTTCGCAAAATCAGCTATTGTATTTAAATACCCGTGATTTAAAAAATGATACTTATAATCAAAGAGATTGAAAGATTCTGCTTGAAATAAGATTATAGGGCGTTTATAAATATGTCATACAAAACAAACAAACATCTGCAAATTAAAGATATTACAAAAATGATAGTCGTATTGTCGGGAGCCTGCATCATCAAAACGTTTCGGTAGATGGAACAATTCGAAATCGCCTATCTGTTCCAAACATGAAATTCGATCGAATATTTCTTCGCGAAGAAACTTTATTGGTGGTGTCATTTGTCTTAAAGTAGATATTCATTGATTTTAAATCTAGCTTTATTTTCTTTATTGCAAAGTTGAAACTTTGATTCGACAAGGTTATCAAAATTCAATGCTTGGAAACATTCGAAGTAATGATTATTATAAATTGCAAAACGCTTAAATACAGCCCCGGCATAGCACCTGAATAGCTCTCCGAAGGCTGCTGAGATGTGTGAGATCACAGCAGGGACATGATTTGCACAAGCAGACGATGTCCCATGACATCTCACACATTTTCAGTGCCTGTGTTTTCATCTTCTCTTGAGTTCTTTCTCTTACTTCACTACCGTCAGGCTAAATGTGTAATCTATTGCCTCACTCTAAACCCCGCGCATGGTTTTATTTTGATGACAAATGCAGCGATACAAAAATAAAGGAATCTGTCGCTTGTAAACAAAATAAGACGCCATTGTATATTCAGCTGCAGACACCGCGGTATGTTCGGCGTTTTAAGAGGGAACAAATGCCGCCCTTAATATCAATCCGGGGGCTTTTCAATTTGAAAGTCTGGTTTCTTTGATTGTTAATTAACCCCTATCCTGTGTATTTACAAGCAAAATATTTTAGTTATCAGAATCGGGTCATGTCCCCTTTTGATCGGTTTGACGTGCCAGTACATTTATATACACTAAACTCATTACAATTTGACAAATAATAGCTTTGCAATTATGTTCATTCTTTATGGGATGTCGTCTGCTTGGGCAGTATTGGTCCCTGTTGTGACGTCATTAAAACACTTGTCATTAACTGGCGAATCTCTCGTATATCCCAGCTGCTATGGAGGTGGTTGTATTTTTATTTTTATAAATCACCCGATATGTAGCTGACCTCAAACTTGTACGATGGCCATCTGTTAGCTTACCAGTTTCTAGTGATACATTAGTTGACATATTTGTGATTTTCTTTGAATTTCACCTTTAACAATTTGTTATCTTCAACGTTCGTGACGTTTTGACGTTGCATATTTGTTAGCTAGCGCTAGTAAAGTCTTTTGTTTTAACGTGCACTGTATATAGTTATAAGGCCTGAACACGTCATGTTCACATTGGGTGTTATATAACATACGGATATTATAGTACATGTAACTTTTAAAAGCACTTTGTTTTTGCAACGCAATGACAAAAGACAGCTCTTTGAGCAGCTAATAGTTGTTGCGCTCATAGGCGGCTATTCCCAATTACCGGGCATTATTTTTTATTGTATCATTAGTTAAGTTTATTAATCTATTCATGTTTTCTATTTATTTATTTAGTTTTGGGGAGGGGGATGTCGTATTACGAATTCATGACCCTTATACATAATGACCATGTTCTCAAATTACGAATAGCGGTCTTCATGAATAGTTGTCCAATGAATAGCGGTCCTTATAACTAGCGAGCAACCTTAATGTGTAGCTAAACAAGAATCTATAGCAAGTCGGACAATTATAGCGATCAAACAATAGTCTTGCTCGGCCGCGTGAAATCCTGCCACGGCATTCTATGTTTTTACCTTTAGAGCGAACTTTTCTTTTGTATTCGCTCCATAGAACTCTACTTTATCTTACAGCGAGGTGAAATGAAAAGAGCGTCATCATGAGTAGATCTATTGTTTGATGTTATCCTTCTTCTCCCTAGTTAAGCCAAACCTTCAATTTAGGCCTATCCATAAAAGGTAGCTTCCTGTACCGTTCGCTTTTTTTTCCTGACTACTATATGAAGCATGTGTATGCTCTGAATTAGGCAAACAGGGGACCGGCGGGTTTAAGATCCTCTCCGAACGAAATGTAATGTTGAGTTATGCCTTACAATAGCATATCGACTTGGTTTCTAACCAGGGAGCTCCCGGTTACGAGCTGCTCTGCTCTACCACTGGGCTATAGCGCCTCCCTCCTTTAAAAAGATCTTTTAAAATTTGCCGTTCTTTTTTTTTTAGAATAAGAATCAAAACATGTTTGGTATGTTTTTTGTATCTGTGCATTAAGATTTCAAAATTTCACTTTCGCCACTTAATTATACAAATCTACGAATAAATGATTCGAATGTTAGAGCAGAAATCAATGTTTGCATTTGTGTCGAATGATTAATTATCATCATGAACTGATTAATGTTTTGTATTGCATTTCCAATTGCTGCTCAACTTTATAACCATCAGGCTACGCTTTTTTGTTTACATCTTCATGACACACGTGTTTTATAATCTCGATATAGTTCCCGGACTCTTTTTTTCTATTTATTGCACTTTTAAAAAGAGCTATGGAATTATTATGATTTAAAACGCCTTTTGGACGGGCAATTTTCGAAGGCAAATCTCGGGCGTGAAATCCTGCCATGGCATTTTATGTTTTTTTTTTCCCTGAGGCCACTTAACAAAATATACATGTTTAGCGTCCCCGCCTGCTTCCTTTTTGGGGGCCGCCTCCTATTTTTTATTTTTGGGGAAATTTGTTTTAATTTTTTTTTTTAATTTAATTTAAAAAAATTGAAAAAAAAATTGAAAAAAAAACACATGAAAAACAATACTAAAATGGATCTATTACTGATTTTTTTAAAAAGTTAAAAGATTTCGGCGGCCATCTTGAAAAATAGCCCGACTGTCAGGGAAAATGTACCGAGCGGCCATTTTGAGCGGCCATTTTGAAAGAAAAAAAAAAGAAAAGAGAGGGCCTCCTCCTTCCTAGTTTTCGAAAAAACAGGACACTAATAAATCATTTTTTTATTTGGCCTTAGAGCGAACTTTTCTTTTGTATTCGCTCCGTAAAACTCTACTTTATCAAACAGCGAGGTGAAATGAAAAGAGCGTCATCTTGAGTAAATCGTTTGTTTGATGTTATCCTTCTTATCCCTAATAAGCAAACCTTTAATTTATTAGAACCAAGTCATGGGAGAGAAAAAAAAAAGGATTTGACTGACAAAATATAAATTCTTCCAAGCTCAGGCTGTGGCGATGTGCAACGCGTAGCGTGAAAATTAATGACGGGAGAGAAAGATAATTCCTTTGTCCATTATACGACGCTAGAATCATATCGCGATGTGGGAATTATACAAATATGTTGATAATCATTCAAATTACAAACATACACAAGCGACCCAAACAGTAATCAATTTGCCGACTATAACCGCATACATGTGGTCATTCACATCATTCGTCTTTTATTTTTTGTTGTTGGGGACAATTAAGCTCGCAATTAAACAACCATTAATCGTACATAGTCATCTTTATTTCACATTTCATACAGTCGTCACAAAAATTAAAAGGAGGCGTATTAAACCCAACAAAAATAAATCATAATGTATTCTGATCAAGATGAACGAGTGTGTTGATTGCCCCCCAAAAACAAAGACGATCCCACCAGAGAAGTTCATGCTGTGCTGTAGTAATGTACATCGCAAAGCTTCGCTACAATGATTGGAAAGGTAATACCCCGCCCGTTACGACGCAAAACGGCGTGAGAAGAATAGATCGCGACGCGAGAAGAATACATCATTTTTGTACAAACAATGGAAAGTTTATCAGAACGAAAACCGGAGGAGGGGAAGTCAGGCTTTGGCCGACAAATACTTTCTGTATATCAAGTTTAAGCTGTACCGCGCATCACGAGCGAGAACAATGACGGGAGAGATAATCTTGCATCGCCTGGTGGGGCGCAAAAGGGCGCAAGAAGAATAGAGCGGGTTTATACTAACAATAGACGGTTTCTTTTCATATGCAAGAATCAGGTGAGGGTGACTATTGCGCCCCTTCGCGCCCCTTTGCGCCTCAATGCGTCTCTTGGGACGCGACTGTTCTATTCATCGCGCCCCGACGCGTCCGGGCACAGTCGCAACTTTGGAAGGCTCCCCTAAGCTATGAATACCAGTCACTTGCACTTGCCCTTTCAGCCTGAAAATGTACAGGTTCTTACAAATGCAATCATGGTAAGGCATGTGGTCTTGGATGTGTGGATCGAGTTTTGTTACAAATATGCTAGGACTGAATTACTTTCCAATCAAGTTTACAGGGAGATTAAGATGTTGCGGTGACCAAGCTAAGATAGCAAGAAACACTGTCTCTCCTGTCTCTTGATGTAGACCATCAAGACTACACCCAACCTAAAACGACCAGAGATAGAAGAGGGCATAACAGGCAATTTTGATGAAACCCACTCAAGAACAGACACATTCAGGGCTACCAAGTGTCACAAATTAGGTGTGACGTCACGCATTTCGAGGGTCTGAAAACGCTCTCACGCACGACGCGCGCGCTAGATTTCGAAAAACGCTATACCTTATACGTGTGTTCTACCTAGCTCACCCGCGCTCGTGCGCCGAGTCATGAAAATGTAACGCATTGCTGATCATTTAACTTGGCGTCTCTGCACATTCTTGAATTCCTTCATGAAAAGATTGCGTGATACGCATGATTGCATGGAACCAGCTGAAACTGAAAGTTAATTGGAGACTATCGCCCACACTGATCCCGTCAAATTCAAAATCGCCCTGACGTCCCCCCAATCTACAAATTAATACACCCTACCCGCACCTCCAGTTCAAGGTTCAAGGTTCAAGGTTCATTTTATTTCTTTCTTTCACAACATTTTTACATATAGATCTAATAATAGAACAAAAAACAGCATAAGAAAAAACAATTTAAGTGCAATTTTAAGTCGATATATAATCCAAATGAAAGAAAGTGGAGACCTTAGAAAAGCTGGGCTTGTAAAAGCAAGGTCCCCATATAAAATAATCCGGCATCAATGTTTCACTTTTAAAAAATGTTTCAAAGTTATCAAAACTACACATGATTAAATATGGGGGAAATATTTACAAAAGGATAGCTTGAAATTTGAAAAGGAGAGGATGAAAATATATACAAAGGAATCGAGAGGAAAAAAGCAAACTCAGACAAGTATTTTGGAGGACTAACCAACCAACCAAGTACCAACCAACTAACCAAGTACCACCAAGACCAGTGACTGTAAGTTGACCAAGCGTGCGCAGACCGTAGCCGGGGTAGGGCAGGCCGAGTGGACAGGTACGGGCCCACTCCCACTCTCAGACGTAGACTCAGTGAGTGGTTAAGGTTCCTTGGCCTTGTTAGACTAGACCCTACTCAACTTCAAGATAATCATAATAATGGACATATTTTTTCAATCACCTAGACCCAAAATCAAGCTCGTTCTCAAAGTAGAAATTGTAGATAGGAAACTCACCTTTTTATAGATAAATTCTGATGCAATGGGAGGACAGAATGTTGTAGAATATCTGTCACAAAGAAACTTCACATGGAAGATATATTGCTCTTTCGTTACCACGTTTGTACAACCGGTAGTACGGACAATGTGCGAAAAGCTCTCAACCAGCGCGCTGGCTATATAAGGCTTCTCTAAAAAAAAAAATAGACCTACCGGTAGCCTAATTATATTAATTTATATCATTTGAACATTCTTTCCATTTAAATTGATCTGATTTTTAAAAATATATTGATAAATCTAACTCACAAAGAACAGGTATAAATGTTATTAGGTCAAGCCTAAATGATGTTGAACCCGTGCACTGATTTTTTTTTTTGATTTTTTTTAAATTAAGTCTGCATTTTCTTAATTTCCAGTGGTTCTAACTAATCTCTGATTAATTGAATGATAATTGAATATTTTTATCATGACTTCATTCGAATATGGGCAAGTAGACCTATTCAATGATGCAGTTTCATTTCGATCACTGAATGCATCAGTATATGGTTGGTTAATGTGTTGCTAATTCCTCGTTTACCTATAACTTTATCAATCCTGTGCCCCCGCCCCCGTTCCATGGTCAGCTGGCCACTAGAATTCATTTATTAATATTTCAACTGTCGCGATATATGCTTGTAATAAGCATGACCCCCCCCCCCCCCCCCCCCCCCCCCCCCCGAAGCTTCTAATGAGTTATACCAGGGAGTTGTTCTGAGTTACATCTCTCTGGTTGTACTAGCTGTGCGTACTACGTGCATCGCCAGAGTAATCTGTATCTCTAAACATCCTGCTTACGCATGCATCTTCTGGGTAGCGTACTAAGGTGCCAAGGTACCGGTATTGCGGCCTCATGAATAAACATGAGTATATGACGTCACGAACTCGCTACGAACTCCCCACGCCTACTCTACCCCTTACCATTTAGCGGGTATCTATGTTAACGTTGTCGCCTCTATAATCTATTTTCGTTGTACGTACGGCCGTACCTACACCCCGACTATATATATACCTACCTATATACCAACATATACCTACCTACCTACCTACCTATATATATGTCTCATTTTGAAGAACTTCAGTCATTAATTGTTCTCGCTCATATATTAGTAACTCCATATATATCCTAGCTTGATAGCACCCCCTCCATTAATTATATTGAGCAATAGAAATATTAACTCCATCTATCTCCATCATCTAAACTTGCTCGAACTTCATCCAACCTAGCACCTCCTCTATACAGCCTAGCACCCCCTCCATTGAGCCTTAGAAATATTAACTCCATCTATCTCCATCATTTAAACTTAATTGCACTAACTTTATCCAGCCTAGCACCCTCTCTATGCAGCCTAGCACCCCCTCCATATTAGGCCTTAGAAATATTAACTCCATCTATCTCCATCATTTAAACTTGCTCGAACTTCATCCAACCTAGCACCTCCTCTATACAGCCTAGCACCCCCTCCATATTAAGCCTTAGAAATATTAACTCCATCTATCTCCATCATTTAAACTTGCTCGAACTTCATCCAACCTAGCACCTCCTCTATACAGCCTAGCACCCCCTCCATATTAAGCCTTAGAAATATTAACTCATCTATCTCCATCATTTAAACTTGCTCGAACTTCATCCAACCTAGCACCTCCTCTATACAGCCTAGCACCCCCTCCATATTAAGCCTTAGAAATATTAACTCCATCTATCTCCATCATTTAAACTTGCTCGAACTTCATCTAACCTAGCACCTCCTCTATACAGCCTAGCACCCCCTTCATTGAGCCTTAGAAATATTAACTCCATCTATCTCCATCATTTAAACTTGCTCGAACTTCATCCAACCTAGCACCTCCTCTATACAGCCTAGCACCCCCTCCATATTAAGCCTTAGAAATATTAACTCCATCTATCTCCATCATTTAAACTTGCTCGAACTTCATCTAACCTAGCACCTCCTCTATACAGCCTAGCACCCCCTTCATTGAGCCTTAGAAATATTAACTCCATCTATCTCCATCATTTAAACTTGCTCGAACTTCATCCAACCTAGCACCTCCTCTATACAGCCTAGCACCCCCTCCATATTAAGCCTTAGAATTATTAACTCCATCTATCTCCATCATTTAAACTTGCTTGAACTTCATCCAACCTAGCACCTCCTCTATACAGCCTAGCACCCCCTTCATTGAGCCTTAGAAATATTAACTCCATCTATCTCCATCATTTAAACTTGCTCGAACTTCATCCAACCTAGCACCTCCTCTATACAGCCTAGCACCCCCTCCATATTAAGCCTTAGAATTATTAACTCCATCTATCTCCATCATTTAAACTTGCTTGAACTTCATCCAACCTAGCACCTCCTCTATACAGCCTAGCACCCCCTTCATTGAGCCTTAGAAAAATATCTATATCTCCATCATTTAAACTTAATTGCACTAACTTCATCCAGCCTAGCACCCCTTCTATACAGCCTAGCACCCCCTCCATTGAGCCTAAGAAATACTCCATCTATCTCCATCATTTAAACTTGCTCGAACTTCATCCAGCTAGCTAGCCTAGCACCCCCTCTATACAGCCCAGCACCCCCTCCAATGAGCCTATCCATCTATCTCCATCATTTAAACTTGAACTACATCCATGCTAGCACCTTCTCTATACAGCCTAGAGCGACCATTAAGCTTGCATGTTTTCAGACCTACCTGTAGCTATTACGATAATGTGTATCTGCCCAACCTAGCTTGCACCAACGATATCCTGGCCCCTATATAGCAACAACTCCATATGTAGCTTTTGGTATACGGGTAATTTAACAGAACCAATTTCATATATCTTTCATCAATTATATCTAGCTAGGTGAAGGATTTGAAATGTGATTTTAAAGATATTCTTTCATAATCAGTAATGCAGGATCATACATGCACTTCTCTTTTCCCTCTCAAGACTTACATTACAATACACCTCACTGGTTATCAGTTGAGGAAACGGGTCATCCCGGTAACAAAGTAATTTGCGTTCTAAAAAGTCAGAAAATCAGTAACTGAATAAGTGAAATTAGAGACATATCTGAAAATTATTAACTAATTATGAATTTCTAAATATTACAAATTTGCAAAGTGATGACACTGCCTGGCTTCCACATTTTCTACATACCTATTCCAAATATACATATTCATGTTCAGCATGGATAATTTTGAATGGTTTTGAAAGACCTTGAATGGATCATTTATTGTTGTCGAGTTTTCTCTAACTGATGTGTTTCATTTTTCCATTTTCATAGCAAATAAGTTATTTTTAACTGGAGTATGTATTCATTAAGATATACTCATAATACTTTCAAAGCTTTGAATAATACCTCGCACAAAAGTACACAGATTTTGCAAACGAGCACACTCCAGCACACACCCTAGGTTAATTAAGTCCAACATGTTATTTCACATATGGCAACAGAACATTCTCATCATCTGACCCTGTACTCTGGCACTCTTGGTCAACCGAAATTACAAAAATATAATGTTCAAGACTGCTCATAATCACTTGCCAGTTTTCAAATATGTAATTTATTGTAACTAACCTGTGACTGCCAACTACATGTATGTTTTCTTTCCCTTCAAATTTTGTTGAATCTTACTTTGTCATACAGTCAACTCTGCTCAGTCAAGTAATCGTAAGTCAAAGGTTTTTAAAGTCCTGCTCTTCATTTTCCATTGCTTTTTTTTTTACCTAAGTCATATTTTGTCTAGGTGAAATCTATATTTTTTCTATAGTCCCAACGGATTCGACTATGACAGAGTGAAGTGTACATGTCACTAATTTGTTTAAAGTGAATGGAGAACAATTATTATTATCATTATTATTGATCTAGCAATTATGCAATTGATAGAAAGATCTTCACTTCACACCACCTTCTACACCATCCAGCCACGCACAATAAATATAAAGTAATATAAGGATTAAATCAATTTCAAATGATTGGATTATAAGTATTGTTTTATTTAAAAAACAATGTACAGAAAAAAACATGACTGCATAATTGTCTTAATTTTAAAGATACAGTACATGTATTAGGTGACTGATTTGCATGAATAAAATTCAATAAAAGGAGTACACAAAAAATCAAATAGTAACATTTTTGTGGTGTTCGGAGTTGAACTAGCTACAAGCATATTTGAAGGTATATTGTCCCCCTTTTATTAGTTAGTGTAATTTTAAAACCATTCATATTCCTCAAAAACCTGCAGATTTCATTGATTATTATCATGCACCCAATTCTCACAATACATCTGAAGTGATTGCACCTGTTTACGTGCATCATAATATGTGTTTCTATGATAAAGACATCATTTTATTCTTTTTGTGTGTGCCTTGCCTTTACTTTTTTATGTATGTTTATAAGGTTCTTGCAAGCACTGCATCACTAATCAGCATGCCTGCAAAATGCATAACATTTTTATGCTTTTGGTCCCAAAAATATGCTGAGAAAAACCCTATTTTTTAAAGTTATTTCATAAATATTTCTTGCAATTCTTTTACTGTTCAGAAAAATATCTTACATAAATATTTGAGGTTATATTTCATATAAATTTCAGAGTCCTTTTTTTTGGTTGCATTATTGGAGTGTTCCAAAACTGGGCAAAAATATAAAACAGGGGAAACGCTCTCGTCGGTGTCACCTGCATTACACAATTCAATATGATTAAAAATTGAGGTTAGGACATTATTTATAGGCAGGGTGGCCCGTTAGCAGGCCCCCCAAATTGAAATCCTCTGAATATAATCGGCATTTGAAGTGAATATTGACTTAGAATCACCAGAGGAATTATTTACTCTAATTTTTACCAAGATTGATATCTTTAATGAAATAGGAACAAAAACCAAAAATTGATTTATTAAGTCTCATATTAAGTTGTGAAAACATAATCCAAGTCTACTGACCTAAAATATCCTTGACTTTGTGACCTGGAATTTGTGTCATATGATTTGTGATACTTGATAACCCTTGGGTACAAGTTTCATGGAATTTAAACAAACACTTTTGAAATCATGATAACATTAAACAGGTCAACGCAAAGCGTAG